TTCCCTTAACTTTTTATGCCTGGTTTTCTGAATGTGTAAAATGTAGCCAAATAAAATTGTGGGAAATGTGTCGGTGCAAGATGAGAGGCAGAAAAGGAGTTATTTGACATACCTGGGCATTCTTCCCATCTCTCAGCCTATTTTTTATATGTGAAATAGGGATAATAAGCCCTAGCCAGTTTGGCTCAGTGGATAGAGCATCAGCCTGTGGACCGAAGGGTCCCGGGTTCCATTCCAGTCAAGGTCATGTACCTGGTAGCAGGCAACCAATCGATGTGTTTTCTCACATTAATATTTCTCTCTGTCTTTCCCTCTCTCTTCTACTCTCTCTAAAAATCAATGGAAAAATATCCTCGGGTGAGGATTAAAAAAATAATAAAATAGGGATAATCATTATTAATAAACTGAGTAATGGGTGGCATGGAGGCATGGGCCAAAGGGTTTGGGAGCTGGAGTGAGTTAAGGGAACTAGGATGGAAAGATAACTGATTCCTTCCCAGGCCACTAGCTGCATTCTGTTTGTGTAGGCCCATTCGTCATCGTTTGTGGCTTTTGTGGCATAGTCATCTGCTCAAAACTTAAAAGTGAGAGGGAATTTTGTTTCCAAGGTCATAAACCTTAGCCAGCCCTGCTCGTGGGTATAGCATGCTCTCTGCCAGCCCCGAAACAATACCCTTTTATCCAAACACTATTAGATGTAATGAGATAGGGCATGACCTCGGGCTTCTGCATGAGACTTACAAGACCACATTTACACATTACTTTAGCACGCGCATTTCCAGGAAATATTTTTATTCGTTACTAATACCTGCTTTATGTTATGTCTTAGTTTCTTTTTCAGAAAATGGTATTTTTCTGACCTCGTCCCTAAATTCTGTCTTGGAGTTCGTACCTCCCAAGCCACGTGCACTTTGCAGCTATGACTTTTCTACCACCTCTGTGTTTGATTTGCTCACTGGTCTGCCTTTGATTTTTGACTTCCAGCGGCATCTTCTCTTCTGCCTCAGGAAATAGTGAGAACCACAGAAAGTTAGGAGCTGACTTAATAGCTTTGGAATGTGCATCTATCCCAAAAGAGGAGCGGTGGCCAAGAATGCGGGTGTCACATTTTTAAAAAAATATATATTTCTTTATTGATTTCAGAGAGGAAGGGAGAGGGAGAGAGAGAAACATCAGTGATGAGAATTATTGATCGGCTACCTCTAGCACACCCCCTACTGGGGATCAAGCCCGCACCCCAGGCATGTACCCTTGGCCGGAATCGAACCTGGGACCCTTCAGTCCGCAGGCCAACGCTCTATCCACTAAGCCACACCGGCTAGGGCACATTTTTAATGCATATTTGAGTAGTACTTTTTCCTTCCTTTGGATCAATCCATATGTGTTGAACAAAAGCCTCACAGAATGAAAGGGAAAAGTAGACAACCCATGCACTGAATTAGGAACATCTGCCTCTATGAGAACTTGAACGAGAGAACCGGAACATTGCCATTCTCCTTCCGCCTTTCATTTGCTCCCCATCAGTCAGGGTCAGCCGGGGCCTCCAATGGTGCTTTAAAAGGCTGACATATTCCATTCATTTCAAGGTTCTAAGCCAGGAAGTTGGGAGAGGTGGGAACTTCTGAGAAGTCCATCCTGTGGATGAAACCAAAGATCTATCTGAAAAGGAATACCGCGAGGCCTGACATGCCAGTGTATGTTTTATTTGAAAGTAAAAGCTTTGGGGCAATACCAACGCTGCATCGTATGGTGGCCAAAAGGTCAGACTCTGAATTCAAATCTGGCCTCGCCACTTTCCAGCCTTATGACCTTGGGCACATCACTTACCATCTCTTTGCTGGTGTCCTCGCCTGTGAAATGAGAATGGTGGTGATGGCAGGATCAGAGTTTTGTCGTGAGGAATAAATGAGTTAGTATGTCTAACACTCAGAGCAGTGCCTGGCACAGGTGAGCATGTTAGAGGCGTTTTTTCTTATTCTCGGCATTGTAACTATGGCCACTGTAATTACTGCTGCCACGTCCACGGCCCCAACTACACCCTGGGCTTTGACGAGATCCTGGCTTAAGTTCTAGCCACTTACCAGCTGGGTATGCTACCAAGTCTAAAAGCATCTGTTTCTAGCCCTAGCCAAATTGGCTCAGTGGATCGAGCATTGGCCTGTGGCCTGAAGGGTCCCAGGTTCGATTCCAGTCAGGGTTCCCTCCCCAGTGGGGTTGTGCAGGAGGCAGCTGGTCAGTGATTCTCTCTCATCATTGATGTTTCTATCTCTCTGTCTCCCTCTCCCTTTCTCTCTGAAATCAATAGAAATAAATATATTAATTAAAAAATGTCATCTTAAAAAAAAAACGAAAAATAAAAACGTCTGTTTTTGTATTTGTAAAATAGAGGCGTGAATAGTATCTGTTTCACAGGGTTATGGTGAAGGTGAGCCGGGTGATGCCCATGAACTCGAGCACAGGGCCTGGGGCAGTCAGTGCTTGCTGCTGTGTTATTGTCACTGGGTGGCTCTCAGCCAAGGTGTCGCCCACAGCAGAGTGTGGGTCTCCATTAGAAGTTGTGCCCCAGGTAGTCTGTGTTACTAATAAGCACAAATTATAAGTCTCATTTTAATAAGGAAAATATATTTTTAGAAAGTCGTTAAAGCTAAGTCAGAGTTATCCTCAGCACAACATGAGTGCCGTTCACTTTCATTCTGAGGAGTGGAGAGCGCTTGGAGGAGACAGCCCTAGGCTCCCAGGACGGGCTCACCGGGGTACACCTGTTGGACGCAGGGCTTGCATTTGAAAGTTGGGTGTTCTGTGTGGGGGCAGAAAACAAGTCTGAGAATCGCTGGTCTTGGGATGCTGTCCTCTCTGCCACAAAGGATACTCTATTTAAAAATATATATATATTTTTATTGATTTCAGAGAGGTAGGGGGAGGGGAAGAGAGATAGAAACGTCAATGATGAGAGAGAATCATTGATCGGCTGCCCACAACCCGCAACCTGGGCATGTGCCCTTCACTGGAATCGAACCCGGACCCTTCAAACTGCAGGCCAAAATGCTCTATCCACTGAGCCAAAGCAGCTAGGGCCACCGAGGGTACTGTTCACACTCTTATGTATTCATGCTCTTGCATGTGGCTTTCCAGACCGAGGGTCAGCCCCCCAAAGCCAAGCCATTTCTATCCTGTCCCAACACGGAGATGCCAGGAAAACACTTGTTTTGACTGTTAAAATCACTTTTCTGTTACTTTAAATAGCTACTGTAACTTGTCCTGACTTTTATTCATTAATAAATATTCATGGAGTGCCTGTTAGGAGTGAGGTATTGGAGATATGTCCATATTGAAAATGGATTTATGGAGATAATTGAGAGAATGTCCATTAAAGAAGCTTATAATCAAGTTTGATAAAAGGTTGTGTAGGCAAGAACTGTAGCAGAAAAGCATTGACTCCAGTGTTCTTTTTCCTTTTTTGCTTCCATTTTTAAACTTTTGCATTCAGGAAAATACATTGTATTTGTTTATAACTTGGTTCTTAATTTTTTGTTGTTCATTATAAAAGTATTTCATGCCCACTTATAAAATTTGGAAATATATAAAATTAAAAGGGACAGCAAATAATCCATATTTTATTAACTAGAAATTACCATTTTAATGTATTTTTTGTTGTTATTTTTCAAGTAACTTTTATACAGGTGATATCATTCTTTATATTTATATCCTGTTTTCTTTTTCATTTTAGTCATTATGTTATTAAAATTCTTTATAAGTGTAATTTTAATACCTTAATAATATTTCATTATATATGACTTATAATTTACAAGCACTCCCTATATGCTGGACATTTTGGTTGATTCCAGTTTTTCTTTATTATGAACAGTGTAATAATAAACACCTTGGTGTATGAGTCATCTGTGTTTCTGATCATAGATTTCCACAGATAGATTTATTCAGTCAGAGTATAAATATTTGTAAGGTAATTAATACATGTGGCCTTGTTGCTTTTTGGCAAAGATAATTTAACCTAACAAAATCATTGACTCTGCTTGACTTGACTTGACTATTTATTACCTTAACTGCAGGAGATCCTTAGCCTTTGCAGATCCAACATTCCAAGTGTTGACTATTCAAGAATGACTCCAAAGTTCATGACATAAAGTAGTTTGCATATTTACTGAAGCACAGAATTTAATCACAGGGGCCTTGAGGTTGCGTGAGTGACCAAGGCTGCCTGGCACATTTCCCTGTGGCTTCATCCTCTGCACTACCTCTCATGTATTGCTTTAAATTAAAAAATAATAATGATATAGAGAGCTTTGCCCTAGCTGGTGTGGTTTAGTGGATAGAGCGTCAGCCTGCAGACCAAAGGGTCCCAGGTTCGATTCTGGTCAAGGGCACATGCCCAGGGTTGCAGGCTGATCCCCAGTAGGGGGCGTGCAGGAGGCAGCCAATCAATGATTCTCTCTCATCATTGATGTTTCTATCTATCTCCCTCTCTTTTCCTCTCTGAAATCAATAAAAATATACTTTAAAATAAATAAACAAAGAAGTTCTTTGTATTTTGGTGGGAATGCTTATACTCAAGCTAGGAAAGAAAGTGTGTGGAAAACAATTTAATCAGTATCTAGGATCCTGGGAACAAACTTAGCACAAGAGACATTGCTGAGACCAATCACAAATTAATCTCTGCTTAACCTTGCACTTCTGTGTGGAACCACGCATCCCACCAGCTCCAGCATCACAGTCTGAGAGCAGCTCCCCCCCTGTTTGAACTATTCCCCTTGAGGTTGCTTTCTCTCCGTTTGGTGACAGTGGGGGTGGTAGCTACAGTTGCTATCGTCTGGCCCCCACAATATTTCTTGCTTTTATGTCACAGTCCTCTGGCAAACTAGCACCCCAGGTCTTCCCCTCCCAGGACCTGCCTTTTCCCCCTCTTGGAGGGACTCAGATTTCTGCACGCCTGGACTTTTTATATGGTGAGCTGGCCTTGTGGCCCTGCCTAGTATGTTAAAGGCCTAGAGCCTGTCTATATTATGCCAACATCACCCTGATAAAGCTGTGGGTGCAGATGGGGTCAGGGCTCTGTGGTTTCTGGCTTCTGTTGTAGCCTTTCCCAGGCTCTGGGGGCCTCTTGGCCCCTGACTAGCCAGCCTCCAGCCTGTCTCTAGGACACAGCCCCATCTGAGCCAGAGGGCCCGAGGCCGCCTCACACCCTAGTTTGGCCTCAAGTCCCCATTGTTGGCCTTGCGCCTCAGCTCCAATAGCTGGACTCTTGTCTGGTTCCTGGGTGCCAGAATCCCATGGTAACCTGCCTCAGATCCCGGGGCCTTGTTGTTGTCAGCCTCCCTCCCAGGGCCTGGGTCCTGCCCTAAAACACAGTGCCCAGTGCACTTTCCTGGTGGCAGCTGCCCATGTGCCCTGCTGGTTGGGCTCCAGGGTGCCCCAGATTCCTCATCGCCCGGCAGCGCCTGCAGGCGGGAGCCTCTGTCCTGGACACTTATCTCAGCAAATGGCAACTCCATTCTTCCAGTTGCTCAGGCCAAAACCTGGGAGTCATCCTTAACTCCTCCTGTTCTCACACAGCCCACAGCTGAGCCTTCAGCGAAGTCTTGGTCTGCTATTGCAGTACATCCAGAGTCCGCCGAGCCTGCTGCAGACAGTCATCCCTGCCCTGGATTCTTGCACTGGCCTCTGCTTGGTCTCCTGGCTCCTTCCTTCTCCCCTTTCAGCTATTGTCAACACAGCTGTCTGACTGATCCTGTTAAAATATGAGCCCGATGATATCACTTCTCTTTTCAGAACCCATCTCACTCAGTGTAGAGCCAGGGTGCAAAGTGCCCTGCAAAACCCCGGTTGGTCACCTCTCTGCTCTTCCGTACGACATACCTGTCCAGCGCCCTTCCTCGCTTCCTCCACTGCAGCTGCGCTCGCCTTCTTCTCTGCCCCTTGAGCCCTTCCTAGGACTGTCTGCCAGGAAGGCTCCTCCCCCAGGTATCTGATGGGCTCCTCACTTCTCGTAGCTCTTTGTTCAAACATCTCCCATCAGTGCGGCCCGCCCTCTCTAAAATCGCAACCCCCTCCGCCTTCTTTCTTGCTGAATTTTTCTCCTCCTCACTAGCCAACATAGTATATATATATATTCCGATTTATTTATCTTATTTATATTTCGTCTCCATTAAAATCTAAGCTCCAGGAGGGCAAGGGCAACTTTGGTTGACTGGTGAATTTCCCAAGTCTGGAACAGGGCCTGGCCAGAATATGAGTTCATTAGATAATTGTTGAACGAATGGATCAGACATTTGAATATCTGCAATGTGTCATTATTGTTCCAAGTGTTTTGTTTTATTTTCTTTTTAGAATATATTTTTATTGATTTCAGAGAGGAAGGGAGAGGAAGAGAGAGAGAAACATCAATGATGAGAGAGACTCTTCACTCCCCCTACTGGGGATCGAGCCTACAACCCGGGCATGTGACCCTGACTGGGACTCGAACCATGCCTTCCCGGTTCATAGGTCGACACTCAACCACTGAGCCACACCAGCTGGGCCCAATGTTTTATATGCATTATCTCATCTAATTCTCAGAGTAATTCAATATGATGGGACTTTGTGATTCCCATTGTGCCTTTGAAAAAACTGAGTCTAATAAGGGAGGTTAATTGACTTGACCAAGAGGATCTGAGCTGTGATGCAAATATTCTGAGAGGGCAGCATGTTAGAGCGAACATAGACTTTGTTGTGAGACAATTTGAGTTCAAGGCCCAGCTGTCAACTACTAGTTGAGTTAGAACCTCTGCAAGCTTTAGTTCCTTCAGTTATAAAATATGGACAATGATTCTCCCTCTTAGAAGGATTGCATGAGGTCATGGGTATGTTATTTTCATATGTATTTTCCTGATTGCTGGTGGAGTTGACAGGTTTCTCATGTATTTATTGGCTATTCAGATTTCTCCTGGGAGTTTCCTGTTCATAACCTTTGCCCAGTTTTCTTTTTTCCCTATAAAGTTGCAGAAAGTTCTTTGAATGGTAGACATACATGTTGTCCTATGTGTTGCACTTTTCCTCACACTATCATTTGTCTTTTTTAAAAAATATTTTTTTATTGATTTCAGAGAGGAAGGGAGAGGGAGAGAGAGAGAAACATCAATGATGAGAGAGAATCATTGATTGGCTGCCTCCTGCATGCCCCCTACTGGGG